ACAATCTGCCAGTCTGACTCCAAGCCTTCCCTCCACAGGCCTCGAGGACACCAAAGACCTAATCCTGTAAGTACCAGCTGCTCCCACACCTCAGCTCTGGGGTCCTCTATAGCACCTCGCAGGAAGGAGGATCCCTCCATGGCCATGTGGGTCTTTGCAGCTGCTAGGGCCAATGCAAGCATCATGGGCATGGTGGGGACCCTGGATTGCTGCAGGCACTGCAAGAGCTGGGGGGACCCATTGGACTGGGCCATGGGGCAGGCACAGGGTCTAGGGCTCCAGCCTGGCTTCCCATCTTGTCCTCGCAGGAAGTTCACGTTCAACCCCAAGGACGGGATCGACAACCCAGCTCTGTCGCTGGCTGAGGACACAGGTAAGGGCCTCTGGGGCGGCCTGGCAGCACGGTGATAGGGGACGATGGCAGGGCTGTGGCCAGTGGTGAGCTTGGACTGTTTGGCCCCTGCCAGCTCCATCCTCTCTTATTTGGACTCTGGGCATGGACAAATGCAGACCATGCAGACCAGCCCCACAGGATCACACCAGGGCATACATGCACGGACACTCATGTGCTGTGTGCACACGGCGACCCAGGCAGGGCTGGATGTGTTCTGGACTATGGGAATATACGAGCCTACCACTCAGGTTGCCCACAGCTGCATCTGTGCCAAGACATGGGCAAGCATGGCTATGGGTGCACACATATGCAGGGGGCACGGGACATGCAGGCACATGTCAGCCGGAGGGAGTGGGCTGAGATCCCCCAGGGCAGGACTCCAGTGTCCAGTCCTTGCATCCCTGCAGGCTCCCATGGCCTGCCGGCCCCTGCTCAGGGTTGGGGGCTCTCTGGCTCTGCTCCCCTGCAGACAGGGACAGTGAGGGACAGCCCCGCTTCTACCTGCTGAGCCGCAGCCCCAGTGAAATCTTTGGCTTCTACCTGCACACGGAGCTGGGGCACACCGGGCACGTCATCCGACAGCTGGAGCCGGGGGGGCTAGCCCAGCTCCAGGGCCTGCAGGATGGTGACCGGCTCCTGCAGGTCAACGGTGAGGATGTGGACAGCATGGAGCACCTCAGGGTATGCCGGAGGCTTGCGGGGGTTGTATGGGTGAATTGGTCTTCAGCTCGAGGGCCCTCCCCGAGCCTGGAGGCTCCAGAGCCCCATGCCCCAGCTTCCAGGCATTGCTTCAAATCCATTAGCACCCGAAACAAGTTTGCTGGGTCTTAACCCAGTTCCCAGAAGCCAGCCCCCACCCGGTGCTCCCTGGCCCTAGCTGCCAGCCCCACCTGGAAGCCCACGGTATCAGCCATGGGCAGCGGCCCTAAAAGCGCCCCTCCAGGGCAGGACTGAGCTCCTAGGTGTGGCAAGACTCTGGTCCTTGTCCCTGGTGAGTGGTGCCCCTGGTCCCAGTGGCAGGACTGACTGTGCAAGGGGCTCTGTGGCAGGTGGTGCAGAAGATCAAGGCCAGTGGGACCCAGGTGTCTGTGACCGTGCTGGACGGCAACACTTACGAGGTGGCGAAGGCCCTTGGCAGGGATGTGGGCGCAATGCTGCCGGGCATCGCAAGGCCGCTCCTCTGCTACATCACCAAGGACAAGAGCAGCTTTGGCTTCAGCGTGTCTGCTCCAGAAGGTAACGGGGGCTGCGGGGCGCTGCCGGCACCTGCTGCGCTCCAGCTCTGGCCCCCAGGCTGTGAGCTTCCCCGCTGCCATTAGGAGCCAGTGTTACCCCCGGTTCTGCCGCCCCGCAGGCGTGAGGGGCACGTTCCGGCTGTCCGTGGTGCACGACGGGCCGGCCGATAGGGCAGGGGTGCCTGATGGCTGCTGGCTCCTGGAGCTCAACGGGGCCAGTGTGAAGAACTGCTCCTACACTCAGCTCAGCCGGAAGGTACCTGTCCAGCCTGGTGCCCGCGTGGAGGCTGTGCCACGGGGAAGATGCCTTGAGTGTTGTCTCCCTCCTGCCTTCCATGATGCCATTCCCTGCCTCTGCCCTGCCCCTCGGCTGCTGCTCTGATCCCCCGCCCTGGGCAGCCGCTAAGGGCCCCTGCTACCCACCTCCACCCCTCCCTGTCCCCTTCTGCATCCGTCCTTTCCCATTCCCACGTCTGCTTTTCCCCAGCCCCAGTCACGTCACCCTAGAGCTGAGGTCCAGGCACCAGCTCAGTGCAAGGTACCAGGCAGCCTCGGGGCCAAAAGTCCCTTGTCCTGAAGTTCCCCCTGACCAAATCCCCCCTCGGATGTAGGCTCCTGTGGGTGTTCAATGCAGGCACTGTGCCCAGGCCTGTCTGGCAGGGGGGCATGAGGGGCTGCAAACCCCATCCCCAGGCTCTCCCCAGGCTCACTCTGCCATTCCCCCCTGGCCCAGCTGAAGCAGAGTGGGAGCCAGGTGACGCTGCTGGTGCTGGACGCGGCAGACGAGGAGCTGTGCCGCCACCGGGGCCTGCGGGTCACGGCCGCCATGGCCGATGCCTCCCGTCTGCCCTTCCGGGTTAGAAAGCTGCACATGGTAAAGGGCCCCAAGGGCTACGGGTTCCTGCTCCAGGAGGAGCCAAGCTGCACCATGGGCATCGGTAAGGGGCTGATGGCGGGAGCAGAGGGCTGGGATCCAGGGGGAGCTGGGCTCAACCCTGACACTGGCTGTGTGGGGGGCCCTGGGCATGTCCCTCCTTCCTTTGTGCCTCAGTTTCCCTCTCTCCAACCTCCCTCCAAGGGGACACTGGTGCATGGGTGCCTTTGGGTTGTCTCTCTCTGTTCTCCCCCACCCTCCAGGGCAGTTCCTGCGGGAGGTGGATGTGGGGCTGCCGGCTGAGCGGGCAGGCATGAGGGAGGGCGACCGGCTGCTGGCAGTGAATGGCAAGGGCGTGGAGGAGCTGGACCACCAGCAGATCGTGCTGCTCATCCGGGCCAGTGGCCCCCAGGTGACACTGCTGGTCATCGATGCCCAAGGAAATGCCTTCTTCAATGCAGTACGTCGTGGGGGGCTGGCCACGTGGTCCCGGCCCTGTGGGGTCACCAGTGCCCCTGGCAGAGGGGGCCGGGGCATATCTCCAGCCAAGCCCCTTGGCTCTTCCAGATAGGGCTGTCCCCGCTGCTCTTCTACGAGGACCAGGACACTGCATCGGGCACTCATGCCTCCTCTCCCGGCCTGCCCCACACCCCCTGCCGCCACCATGCCGGGGGGCCACAGGACATCATTGACGAGCCAGAGAGCTGCACCACGCAGGTAACAGCACCTGGCAGGGGCAGCTCCAGGACTCTGTGCCCAGCCCAGCCCCACCTGGCCCCTCTGACTGCTTGGATGCCCAGCCCCATACCCTGATCTGCCTTCCTGCCCCCAACCGATTTCCCAGCTTGAGCTGCTGCAGTGTGTGGGGGCCTCGGTTTGGGAGTCAGGACTCCTGGGTGCCGTTCATCCCAGGGTGGTCTGGGGTCAGAGCCAGAGGGTCCCTGCCTCACCCACCAGTGGGTCACCCTGGAGAGGGGCAGGGGGGTTTCTGAGCTGCGGGCCTGCTCTTCTCAGGCAGTTCTGGGGGCAGTCGGGGATGCAGTGACCCCGGTCAGGGGCAGGAAGGTGGAGCAGCAGGTGGCAGAGAGCAGCCCCCAGGTGATGCTCCCAGAGGGGGAGCAGGGCAGGTGCCACAGCTCCTGGGACCCCAACCTCGTTGCTGCGGCCGAGTGCACCCATGCTGGGGAGGCTGCTGCTGGGACCATGACCCTGCTGGGCTCTGGGCAGGTTAGTGTGGGAAGCCCAGACCCCTCCTGCTACTCCAGATCCCCCGCATGTGCATTACCCCGGGGCAAGGGGCTCTGCGGAGGGTGTGGAGCTGGAGGGGCCTGGGCAGCCCCTGGCTGTAGCCACGGCCTCTGAGACTCAGCAGTTCTCAACTGGTGAGGGGGCTGTCCTCAGAAGTGGGAAGGGGACAAGTCTCTAAGCAGAGGGGGACTGGGTCATGCTGGGGCTTTTGGTTCCTCTGCCCCTGCCCCTTCCCCTTCCCCAGCTAAAGCACAGCCCTGCGCTGCCCAGCAGGGCTCTGGGGCAGGTGGAGCTGCTGGGGGCTGCCCTTCCTCTGTCCCACGCAGGCATCACCGTGGGAGGGCCCAAAGGAGATGAGTCAGTCGTTGTAGCTGCTCTGCGGCCCCCAGCTCTGCAGAGCCCCCGGCGCACGCTTTGCACACACATTGCACTGAGATTCTTTCCCTGGCGGCACGTCCCAGCGAAGGGCTGCACTGACCGGCTTGGAGCACAGGACATCCTGGGGCAGGAGCAGGGCTCCCAGGTGTCTCCGGGGACAGCGGTGGCTCTGCCTGGGAAGGCACCCCTGGAAACCACCCAGCAGCGGCCCATTGATTGCTAACAGGCATGGTTGCCCCGCTTGGAGCTGGAAGCCAAGCCTGGCTTTGCCCACTTGCTGCTCTCACACAGACGAGACGGGCTCAGAAGCAGTGAAGCCACTGTAGTCCTGGCTTTACTCACAACCCTGCCCGGCCCTGGGGACCCAGCTGGCAGGAGGAGAAAACAATTTGGGTGGGGGGAACGGGACCATGGGGTCAGCTCCTTGGTTCCTGGATGCTGGCACCAGCCCCATGGGGATGGGACCTGACCTAGAGGGACTCTGGTCTGGTCAGCAGAAGGAGCTGGCTCGGGTCTACAGGGATGGGCCCACAGGGAGCACCTGACCCCCGACATGGTGCCCGCTGCTGCAGAAGATGGGGAGAGCCTGCCCCTTCCCTGCAGCGAGCCCTGGTGCAGCATTCCCCCACCCCCTGCAATCATGTCATGCAATCAAAGCCTGATTAAATCATCTGAACCGCTGCTCACTGCAGCAGCCTTGAACCTGCAGGAATGATCTCGGGGTGAGGCAGATCTCAGCAAGTGCCCCAGGCTCCCTGCTGCATGGAGCTGGGCTCTGGAGGGAGGTCAGGCTGCCAGACCGCAGCTCCGGGCACTGCCCCAGCTTGGGAGAATGCCTAGGGGAACATTGCTGGGTGCTGCTGCCCGGGGCCTGGCAGAGTTGGGCATCGCCCCTGCCCGTCTCTGTCCCAGGCTGGGCGCTACATCTCCAGGGGGTTGAGGCCAAAGTCTCGCAGCCTCTCCTTGTGCTCCATGTGGATGGCCGTGGCTTCCCGCTCCCAGCGCAGCTTTGCAGAGGCCAGCTTGGCCAGGACACCATCCAGGCTGCCCTGTGGGGGCAGGGGGAGTCAGGCACAGTGGGATGCCTGCATGGGTGTGTGGCAGCAGGCAGTGCCCCAGGAGCCTAGATGCCAGGGCGAGGGGCACCCCCATACACATAGCTTCTGTGCCTGCAGGACACCGCCCTCCTCTCCCCATGTCTGGGAGCAGGAGGCAGCAGGGAACTCCATGAGCTTCCCTGCCCTTTCCGCCGGCACCCGGGGGGTCCAATCTCATCGCCACTGCCCTGCGGGGTGACTCACGTGCAGGATCTGCTCGTATTCAGTCTTCATGGTGTCGATCTTGGCCTGCAGCTCAGTGAGGCTCCGGTCCTTCTCGCCCAGCATCCGCTCACTCTCCTCCCGGGCCTGCTGGCTCTCCTGGCGGCACGCGGCTGCAGGGGGATGGGGGTGAGAAGGAGCAGGGCTGGGGGCTGAGAAACTGCAGGAGGCAATAACGGGTGGCAGGAGTGGGGGAGACTGTGGGAGCTGGAATGAGCTGGAGTGTCGATGTACCAGCGTGATCCATGGGCATCGGGCACAGGGTCTAGTCTGACATCTCTGGCAATGCCTAGCAAGGTGGTGCTGCTAGGGAGAAGAGCCCACCATGGCAGGGAGAGGGGGGATTTGTACCGAGCTGCTCCTGGAGCTGTGTCACCTCGGCCTCCAGGCACTGGATGCGAGTCTCTGTCTGCCGCTGCAGCTCCTGGTACTGCCGGATCATCTCTGCGGGGAGAACAGGGCTGAGCCCGGCTGCCAGAGTCAAGTCCCTGGCTGTGTCACTTATACACCGGGTGCACAGGCCACTAAGGGACTTGCCCGTGGCCACCCGGGAAGCCTGTGGCACACCATCCCCAGCTCCCAGGGCCTGTGAAACCCCATGGCGGGCAGAGCTAGAGCAGTTCTGCAAGGCAAGGAGGGATGGGGGGCTCTGTAGCTAGGTGGGGGTGGCTGGGGGTAGCAGCAGGGTGGCATGATGATGGCAGAACAGCTCGCCTTGCAGGGCCCTGCATGGAATGGAGCCAAAGGAAATATGGGGCAACCTATGGCACTGCTCCCATCCTGCTGCATTCAGCCCGGCGTCCCCTGCACACTTACCAGCTCTGACCCACCTTCATAAATGTCCCTCTTGTCGTCCCGCTCTGCCTCCAGCTCCTGCTCCAGCTCCTGCAGCCGCAGCTGCAGCCCCTCGCCCGCCCCCGCCCCCCCCCCCCCGCTGCCCCCCTCCGCCTGCCTGGCCACATCCCTCCGGAGCACTGGAAGTGACAGGCGGGTTAGGACCCTGCCCTGTGCTCTCTTCTTGTCGGCTGACCCTGGCCAGATGCTGGCAGCATTACCCCAGCACAGCTGCCGGGAGCCCAAGACTGGAGACTGCAGCCACGGGCCCTTCCTGGCGTGGGGATGGCTGCTGGCTTGGACCTACGGGGCTGCAGGGGAAGCCCACAGGGTGTGTCAGTGAAGACCCTCAGCTGGGCGACCATGGGACCAGTGGTGCTCCCAGTGGTGCAGGGAACTGCTGTGGCTGTGAGAGTCCCTGGCCCCAGCCCTGGTCCCAGCTCCTTGCTCCTGGGCCAATTCCTGGAGGTGTTCACCAGCTCTATGGCCAGAGGGGATCCCTGCAACCATCCTGGGCTTGCTGTGCCCCAGGGCTTCCACCACCTCGCAGTGGCACGTCTCAGCCGCGGGTCAGTGCATGGCAATGGTCCTAGATGGGGAGATGTCTGTACCACCCTGCCCTCAGCCTGCCCCTCCTGTCACCTGGCAGGGCCCATGTCCCCACTGCCCGCCCAGGCTGGGGGCTTACCCAGGTGCCTCCTGAGGGTGTCCACCTCCAGAGCTGTCTTCCGGGACTCCCCAGCTTCGCCTGCTGCTGACAGACAGAGCACAATCACGCATGCAAGACGGAGCATCGTTGGGCATTGGACACCTCCTCCCTGGGCTGGGGGAGCTCAAGCATGTGGGGCAGGGGTTCAGGATCCCCCAGGGCTCTGATCCAGAAGCCTTGGCTTTCCTATAGCCTCCAAGTAAAGCTGGGGTCTCCCCAGCCCCATCGGGGCCAGTCCAGGGCTGATCTCAAAACTGCTCTGTACCCACACCACACCTGAGAAATGGGGAACATGGCACTGGCTTCAAGCAGGATGTGCTGGTGCCTGTGTCCCATATACCCCCAGCACTGGGTTCCCCTGCTTATGCTGGTTACACCCCAGTGGGAGGCGCGGGGCTCCTACAGGGTGGTCGGCGGCTCGTCCTGGCCCCTGGCTCCAGCTGCCTGCTGCCTCTCATCAGCCAGGAGGGGCTGGGCTGCTTTGGGATGGAGGGAGCTGAGAAGGGACATGGTGCATCCCTGCAGCCTGGGGGGCAGGACCTGGGGAAGGTTTCTGCCCATGCATGGGACTCCCACTCACCTGCCGCAGGCTGCGTCTTCTTCTGTCTCCCTCCTTTCTTCCCCTTGCCCTTGGCCTTGGGGGCCATGCTCCTGGTTTGTCTGTGCGGAGAAACGGGCAAGGGGTATCGAGGCTCCCCCAGAGCTTCTAGGCGATGCTGCATGGAGGAGAGGCCGGATGGGAAGGCCACTTCAGCCTGGCATTTCCTGCACGGGCTGCAGGCATGGAGGGAACGGAGGCAGACCACGCTTGCAGCTGGGCTGTACCGTCCCAGGGCAGCACGGAAGGTAACCAAGACCCCCAGCAGTCCTCTGCCATGGGGCACTGGGGGAAGCGCACCATCCATCACTCACATCATCCCTTTAGCAGGCAACACCTCCCCCAGAGATTGCTGGGCCCATGCCACAGCTGGGGAAATTGAGGCACAGAAAACAAAGGTGGCGAACCCAACAAAACAAGTCAACCCAAGGCTTCCCCCCACACATCCTGACTCCCAATGTCCCCTGCCCAGCCCATAGCCCCCCCCAATCCCTCCCAGCCTCCTGTTCTTCTGCTATTTCTCTCCATTTGCCGCACAAAAACCAGCCACGTGCTGCAACAGCTCTGCAAGGGGAAGAGGCTTGTAGACGATCGTTTCCAATTAATCCCCCCCCAAACCTCAAGTACCTGGAAGCGAAGGGCTTCTTGCATGCGAGGCTGCAGATTTCCAGCAGGAAATGTAACTGGCCTGGCATGAATGGCGTGGGGAAAGCCAATCAGCTGGGAAGGCACAGCAGGCTGGTGTCGGGGAGCCTATCCCAGCCTGGGAAAAGCCGGCAGCTTTGCATTGCTAGGCAGCAGGCTGCTGGCTGCTATAGCGACCGGGGAAGCTTGGCAGCCAGGGGCTGGGCTGCAGGGTCTGAGGCAGCCGCAGGGCTTGGCAGATCCCACGTCCTTTGCATCCAAGATGTTGGAAGGGGGAAGGTTGTGGCATCTCCCAGCATCGCAGCACAGCAGCTGGGCCAGGGTCAGACGGGCTGGGAGAGCAGCCCACAGCCGCACGCCTGCTCCAGGACCCGCATACACATGCAGAGCGGCAGAGGGTGACACACGTACACACAGAAACAGCTCCCAGGCTCAGATACACACGTGCACACACGCATGCAAGCGCGTGGACTCATGCTTTCTATGTGTGTCACGTTTTCTCCATGGAGGCCTTGCTCCTGCCCTTGGGGAGGTCAGGCTGTGGGGCCGGTCATGCAGAGCCCTGCTGTGTGACCGATTCCCTTCGCCTTTTCCTGAAACCCGTCGGGATGTCTTCAACCTGCTCTTTCCCAAGTGGATGGCGCCTCCCCACACTGCAATCTGCCTTGTTTAGGGCAGAGATGGGAGCATGTGCTTTGCCTCCCTTCTTATGTGGACTGCTCTCCCTCCGTGCCTCAGTTTCCCCATGTGTCAGATGAGGGTGGGACTCCATGGAGCGCCTAGGTGATGACTTGAGCCAGACCCCTGGCTGGTGCAGGAGCCTGACTGCTTGCACTGGCTGCAGGACTGGCCCCGTGTGTATGAGCGAATCACCGGGAGCTTTGCGTGCATGAGAACGGATCGGGACTAAAAAATAAATACATCTCAATCTAGGGGCCTCGATCCAGTTTTTGTGACTCGAGCTCCCCCGAGGCAATGGCACCACAACTCTGCTCTTCACCTTTCTCCTTCCACAATCTCCTTCTAGCGTGCTCAGTACTGTGGTTTTGCAGGCTCAGGCCACCCCTGATGGAGGGGGAAGGGAACAGGGGAAGCAGAGAGATGAATTCCAGCAGGGCTTTTGCTTTCGGCACCGTTGTCAACCAGAACACCCCGAGGGACACCGACAAGCCCCTGCACATTGTTCTTGAGATGCCTTATTAGCTGGCCGTCCTCGCTGTCGGCTGCAGCGTTCGAAGAGAGATGGATGGCAGGCTTGGAGCTCCGTGCTGGGCTGTGTGGAGCAAGCAGGTTTTCTCCCCGACAGAAGAGGAGCTGCATGAAGGCAGATGGGGCTCCACATGGGGAGAAAGGGTGTGTGAGATGAGACCCCAGACTCATCTGTTGCTGCTAATGCCTCCTGGTGCTGTGTCTTTGCTGCCCTCTTGGCACTTCCTCAGGCTTCAGGAGCACACTGATTCATAGATTCATCGATTGTAAGGCCAGAAGGGACCTTGGGAGATCATCGGGTCCAGCCCCCTGCACCAAGCAGGAAAGGCTCTTGCAAGGCATAATTATAGTACCTCACTATGGCTCTCCGGGAAGCAGCAGGTCCTCTCTGTGGGTCTTGGTCGCTGATTTTATGCAAAGCCTGCCTCTCAGGAGAGCTTAACTACATGTCCCATGCTGGGGCAGTGGAGACATGCTCCCACGGCCCTTTCTGGCCAGGGCAGTCCTGTTCCCCAGCTAAGGACAGCCTGGATAAGTACCTACCCTGCATCAGGTCAGGGCCAGGGCAGGCAGAAAGTGGTGTGAAGAATTCCCCTGAATGCCCCACCCAACTGGACGAGGAGAGGGAGGACCACACCAGCAAGCCCAAGGCCTGAAGGCACAGGATCTGTGCCATGACGGAAGATGCCTTCTCTAGTCAACAGTTTTCCAAAGCCAAGCGAGCTCTGTCAGTCCCGGTGCGCTCGGCCCCTGGAGGATAATGCCACCGGCCTGGCTCCACTTCCGGATTTTTTTTTTAATTGGAAATTTTTGATGCATAGAAAAAGGAACCTGGCTTTTCAAAATAGGGAACTGCTCCTGTTTTGCAACATCTGTACAATAATCTGCTCGCGGCTGAGCAACCCTGGGGGAGGGATGGGAGGCTACTAATGAAGCGACAGCGATCAAGGAGCTGGGTTGGAGAAGCAGCAAATCCCTTCTTGAGTGCTAGCTCTGTTGCCTTCGTAGAGGAACCGGAGCACACAGGGGATTGCCAAACCAGCAGCATCCGGGATTTATACTGGGGCGTTCGATGTGAACAGGCAGAAATCTCTCTGATGGATCCTTTTGTGTTAAAAAGTGGTGATTTGACTCAATGGGGATGTTGCCCTGATTTGTTTTGCCTTCCCTGAATTGTTTTTCAAGAAAGAAAAAGAAAAAAACCTGGGAAAATACCTCCCCCCTCAAAAAAAAAAATATATAGATAGATAGATATAGATATAGATACACACACACACACACACACACACACACACACATATTTGAGATGTTTTAAACAAAAGACATTGGTTATTTTTGTCGACTTCACATTTCTCCCCTACGTGTACATCACTTTGAGTAGGGTCCATTGATAGTAATGCTAAATAAAAAGCTCAAACAAATCCTCCACTTGCTTCTAAACCAGTTTTACCATCATTTGTTGATGTGCCAAAAACTGTGAGGGTGTTTTGATCTGGGACCGAGTCTTCCCCCCACCACTATAATTGCAAACAAACCTCTTCCCTCAGGTCTTGGCAGGAGCCCCTTTGAAATACATGCACAGGTGGCAAATGAATGGATGCTCAGCCTGGAAACTAGGCTCCTGACAGATTGGCATGCATGTGAAGGACCCAGTGGAGCAATTGGGCAGATGTTTGCCTTGAGGTCCTTGGTCCGCATGTCCCCTGCACCTCCTGTCTTGGAGGGCTCTGGGCACTGGCAGCAGCCCTCCGTGCCAATGGGACTTCACTGCAGCAGGAACTGGGCATGGAGGATTTTGCTGGGATGGAACATGCATTATGCTCAGCCATTTCCCCCCTTGCAACAGGCCGGAGAGGGCCCAGGTGGTAAAAATCACAGTTAAAAATATCCTCTTTATTTAAATCCATTTTGTACAACTGCAAATTTACATGGGCCGAGGACTTAACCTTCTTCCCATTTCATGGTCTTCACATAGATGCCGTTTATTCAGCTCTCCAACTCGCTTTCTGATGGGGCAATCTGGGATCTATGGGCAGACTGCGCTGTGTGAGAAGCCACACGGTCAAAATCCTCCTCAGTGCCAAAACAGACAAGTCCAAGGGCCTCACTAACCTCATTCCTATATGAACATCCCACCTGTGCACCCAGCAGATGAGAAACTACCTCGGGATGTGTGCTGTGGCCAGCAGCTCCCCACATGTTGAATTTCCACAGTGCTGCAGTGCTTTTCCAGCCCAGCTCTTAGCTTGGACCCATATTCCCACACCCCCGGGTGCTCCTGCACAGCCCTTTGTTAGGGGCCTTCACAGGCTGTCCAGGAGCTTAATTTGGGGAGATGACTTTTGCAGCGGGTGTATCTGCCATTGCACAGTATGGCAGATGCACTGACAGTCTCAGTCTCCTGCTCGTTGTCTGTGGCAAACCGGCTTTGCTGTAGAGCGAGAGATTTCACCTTGCTGCCTGTTTCTGAGAAAAATGAGGATTTATCCTCCAATGCCGCAGACACTTGTCGCACTGTAAGCACAGGCCTGGGGACCCTTCCTGGGAGTTCATGGAAACCAGCAGCTTCGGGGCTGATCCTAGCTGGTCTCGGCTTTTGTGTTCTTGGGCAGGGGTTTATTTCATATCCTTCAAGTCAGAGACTGGAGGGGGGGAAGGCATGAACCCCCAGGTGAGTCCCTCCTCTTCCCACCCCAAAGCAATCGGGGGAGAGCTCATTGGGAAGGTCCAGGGATCCCCCCTCGTGGGGACTCTGCAACTGCACAAATGGCAACCGGTCAATATTTCACATGCATTTAAATCCAGCCAGATTTAAAATACATTTTAAAAAGCAATATTTTAAAATGGCAATGATGTAAACGCAATATTAAAATCGCAGAGTTAAATGCATGGCTTAAATAGCCCTGATTTAAATGTGGCATTTAAACCGTTCGTACTTACATATACTATTTATTTTGTGCTGGTTTAAAATGCGATGTTTAAATCATGGATTTAAATGCGTGGTTGAAATAGCCTTGATTTAAAATGCAGCATTTACAACGTGTTTATTTCAATGCAATCTTTCAAGTGCAGATTTAAACACAGTTTCACTAGCCCCCATTGAAAGGCAGCATTTAAATCGTTCTTCTTTAAATACAAAATTTCAATCGAGAATTAAAAGGCATTTTTTAAATAGCCCTGATTCAAAGGCAATATTTAAACCGTTGTTATTTAAATACAATATTTAAAAAGCTTATTGAAACACACCTTTTCAATGGCCTCGATTTAAATGCAATATTTAAATTGCTCTGATTGAAATGCAACATGCAAACAGGCTGTTTAAATGCACTATTTCAATACCCCTGGTTTAAAAGCGGTATTTAAAGGGCCGTGTGTTAACTGCCCCATTTAAATCGCCCCCATATAAGCCTGTGGCCCGGGCATGACTCCGCCCCGCCCCATGCGGCCCCGCCCCGGCCCTGCCTAGCAGGGCTCTGCCCTCACCAAACATGGCTGCCGAGAAGGCCTTGCCGCCGCACTGCGCACGCTCCGCCCGGCGGCCGGCGGAGCGGAAGGGGGAGGCGGTGCCCCGGCCGCGAGGGGGCGGGGC